TTTAAAATACTGCTTTTCCGAAGTCACCGAAACCCTCCACTTTGCCAAATCCGGTTGTTACTCTTCAGTCTTCAACTTACTAGCCTCTCACAAGCATAGGTTCCAGCTTTTCCTGCACTTCTGTGACCACATTTTCTCCCACTTCTATCTCCTTTGGCTTCTCCCTCTCTCTCTCTTTCCCTTTGTTTGCTTCCATACATCTTAGTTCTTTAAGGAAAATTCTAAGTAAATATAGGAAAATCAGTATTTTATATAATCGGGGTTATATACACATTTAAAAAATAAAATTTGGCGATACTTTTAGCATTCTTAAAATACTTCACATTAAAAGAGGGAAAATTTACTAACCATTTAGAGACACTTATAAACCATTAGCAAACCAAATCGCCTTGTGATAACATTCGCTTCTCCAGCTGTCATTCTTTAGGCAAGTTCAGTTTCACAGAAGACAACTGAGGCCAAGAGGCATAAGTTGCCAAAATTATATGTACAAACTCATTATTCCTAGCAGAGAGCCTCAGATCCTTACTTTGAAGCCTATTCAATATTACTTTACAAGCCGGTTTAAAAGCATTTAAGGCTGGGGGCTTCCCTGGTGGCACAGTGGTTAAAGAATCTGGCTGCCAATGCAGTAGACATGGGTTCGAGCCCTGGTCTTGGAAGATCCCACATGCCACGGAGCAACTAAGCCCGTCCGTGCCTCACAACTACTGAGCCAGCGTTCTAGAGCCTGTGAGCCACAACTACTGAACCCATGTGCCAACAACAAATGAAGCCTGCGCGCCTAGAGCCTGTGCTCCACAACAAGAGAAGCCACTGCGGTGAGAAGCCCGCGCACCGCAATGAAGAGTAGCCCCCACTTGTCACAGCTAGAGAAAGCCCATGCACAGCAATGAAGACCTAACGCAGCCAAAAAAAAAAAAAGGCATTTAAAAGTAAAATAGTATTAAAAAAAAGGAAGAGAAGAAATAAAAATGTAGAAAAAATAGACGTGAATTTTTTAAAGTTTAAACTTTTTTTTTGTTGTTATTCAATATATATACATAAATCAGTAAACCCCTATACCTATGTTTCATTAGGCCCAAGAGTATTCCACCTAATGACACAATACCACATGCTGGTAATTGTAAGGTCGGATCTTAACAAACGGCACCACGAAACAGAGGAAAGCTTCAAGTGAGCTTTATTAGGGAGCGCTCCCGGGCGAGGTTCACTGGTCCGAGAGAAAGGGGGCCAGAGAAGTCGCACCCTGGCGAGGGTTGGGCAAGATTTTATAGGGGAAGAAGGGAAAGGGGCGTGGTGAATCTGGGAGGGTGCAGGGTATTCCTTATTTGGTGGTCTTTTCGGGTATCCCCGGGGAACGTTAGTCCCGCCCCTGGAAAGGAGGGAAGGCTGGGCTGGGTTCAAAGTCCCCAGGTCAGTTCCTGGAACTGGGTGGTCCGGAATGTCTCCAGGGCAGTTTCTGGAACTGGGTGGTCCGGAGAATTTCGGTCTGATGCAACCTGTGAATCTGATTGTGTTCCCCTGCCTCGGGCCAGTTGGCCTTACAGTAATGATACTAAATAATTAATAACATTTGTCATTGTGTTCTGCCCACTCTGAGAATGGAGGGCCATCAGCAATACATTTTAGAAAAATGCCCATCAAAAAAGTCAACATTTTTTGTTTTAATATTGAAACATAATGGAATTTATTTCCATTATTTACGTTACAATAAAAGCCTTCACTCAAAGGTGTGTCTCTGAGGATGGAAATTGCTAAATTGTAAGCTCTGTGAGGGTATGAAACTTACATGTCATTTAGATGCAATTTGCTACTTCTATACCTACAGCTTCCCTGAGAGTTCATATCTAAAAGGAATGAAGGGGGGGACTTCCCTAGGACTCTGAGCTCCCGATGCAGGGGGCCTGGGTTCAATCCCTGGTCAGGGAACTAGATCCCACATGCATGCAGCAACAAAGATCCTGTTGCTGCAACTAAGACCCGGCACAGCCAAAATAAATACCTAAATATTAAAAAAATAAATAAAAGGAATGAAGGGAAGTCTTTTCAGAAAACCAAAAAGAAATTCTAAAGTTTTTAATGTTCAGGAAGAGTGCTTCAGCTTTTTAACCCCTGAATGTTATATATCTATGAGTATCTAAAAGAGATTAAACAATATGCAATACAAATTAATTTTATAAATCTATTTCTTACCTCAAATTCTATTTCTCTTAGTTTAATATATAATAAAATCTTTTTTAATGAAGAAAAAAATGGACCTGATGATGGTAATTTGCAAGGGACGGAAAGGAGATTATTATGATAACTTTAGTAGTGTTTATACATTATTTCTAAAAATTGACAGGAGAAAAGCTAAGTCTACCCTTCTAATTTTCTTGAGTTGAAGAAAGCTGTATCTCTATCAGATGCAATATAAGACTGAAATTCTCTAAGGGATCAATGGGGATATTTTATTAATACAGAATCGAATCTATAACAAAAAAAAATCTATTTCCACTATTATAACATTTCACCTTTTGGATAAATAGTCTTCATCAGTGTCTTACCAGTGTTTCATAGATTTTTTTTCCCTTTTCTTTCCTCCTTCCTACCTTCCTTCCCTTCTTTCTCTCTTTTTTTTTGAGGGGCAAGTACAGAGATTTCTCATATCTGCCCTGTCCCCGCACTCCATAGCCTCCCCACTACCAACATTCCTCCACCAGAGTGATACATTTGCTACAATTGATAAATCCACATTTACACATCCTAGTCACCCAAAGTCCATAGTTTACATTAGAGTTCACTCTTGGTGTTGTGCATTCTATGGTTTTGGAAAAATATATAATGACATTTCCATCATTATGGTATCATACAGAGTATTTCCATTGTCCAAAAATCCTCTGTGCTCCACCAGTTCATCCCTCACTCCCACCTCCACCCTCTGGCAGCCACTGATCTTTTTATTGACTCCATAGTTTTGCGTTTTGTCATATAGTTAGCATTATACCGTATGCAGCCTTTTCAGGCTGGCTTCTTTCACTTAGTAGTAAGCATTAAGCTTCCTCCATGTCGTTTCATGGTTTGGTAGCTCATTTCTTTTTTGTGCTGAATAATATTCCATTGTCTGGATGGGTCAGTTTATCCATTCACCTACTGAAGGATGTCTTGGTTACTTCCAAATTTTGGCAATTATGAATAAAGCTGCTATAGGCATTTCACAGATTCAAAAAAATTCCTTTCCCTTCCTTCAAAATTGAACATAAAATCAACGAGCTTACTTCCAATATGCATCCAAACCAGACTGAAGAGGTGCCTCCTTTGGTCTACTTCATACTCTCTCCATATTTGCATTAATTGCTTTATTGAATTAGCATACTGTTCTCTCCATCTTCCATGTATTTATTTTAAACAATGCAGGAAAATGCAATAAAACACCCAAATGGATCGACAAGTGCCATTACAATACAGAGATGGTTTTTTAATGGAAACTGAAAAAATTGACTCATGGGCAGAGATGGTTGGTTCATGCTCAGAAATTGCAAACTCCCAGATGGTTTTGGGAAGACATTTTTATAGGCAAAATTTGGGGTGAGGGCTGCAGGGTGTGTGAATTTCTTCAGATTGGTTGCTGTGAGGTAACAGGGCATTCCAGGAATCCTGTGCTCAGCCTGAAGTTACCGTCCTCCACCTGGGCGGGGGCTTTATTTCCAGCAGAAGAACTCAAAGATATTTTTATGTATATTCCTTGAGGAGGAACCAGGATCCTGCTTTAATCACTGCACTATAGTTTCTTGATTGTTCCTCCTTTGTTTCTTCAGTCTCTTACTTCCACTATTAGCAACTATTTGAATCTGCTCTTTGCAACAGGGAGGTCTAGGAGGCTGAAGTATTTATCCTGCAAATAAGAAAGGAGGGGACAAAGACAGGTTTTTGCGCCCCACAGGGTTGTGCTTAGTTACAGATTTATTCATCTTGCATTAACTGACGCTATAAAAGCCGTTGTTTTTTTTAAAATTGAAGTATAGTTGATTTACAACGTTGTGTTAAAAGCCATTATTAATAACACCATTTTAGCCAAGGTACATGGGAAATTATCAAAGTGATCTTGTTATAAGCACCAAGAACTTTGATCTTCCCTCATTTAGGGTAGAAGGGATGAGAAACTGCTGAGCTGGTAAGATGGCCACACAAATAACTAAACACTTATGAGTGGGAGCCCAAGATTTTGTTCATTCAGCCCTACAGTCATTCATTCACTCAAGGTGCATTCTAGGTACTTTCCACACACACTGTCCATCCACCAGACCATGCTGGACTCTCTCTTGAGTCCAAATCAGAATTCATCATTTATTGATTTTAAGACCTTGGTCAAGTTCTGTCCTTAAGCCTCATCTTTTTCATCTGTGAAATAGGGATAATAATGCCTTCTTAAATAGGGCATTGTTAGAGTTAAAAGTGAGATCCGGTCCCCAGAAATTTGAAAAACCGTGTTTTGTAAACATATGTCACTGTTCTTCCACTAGGATCTGAGCACATGACGAAAGAAATCATAAGGCAGTCTCTCTCCCCCATATTCCCCTTTCCTCATCTAAGAGGGCAGCAAAAAGCTCACAGAGGTCCCTCGCACAGTGCAGCAATGTGAGATGCTAAAAGCCTGTCCCCAGTGGCAACATGCAGTCATCTTCCAAAATCATTTGAGTTCTAACCCTGTGTTACTTTTCTCTAGCTCTTGCAGCTCTACGAACATAATCTGTGCTAAACCCTGCTGTTGTCCGTGGTCAAATGCTCGGCCGCAGGTAGGAGACCTTCCCCCAGGACTCCAGTTTGGTCAGGATGAGGGCAGGGGGCCCAGAGGGCAGACTGCTAACGCCTTCTGCCCGCTTTCTCCTGGCGTTTGGAAAGCGGCTGCCGAGGGGGCGTTTCTGAGCAGCAGGGGCGGGCAGATATGGCGCCTCCCCTCTCCACCGTCTGGGTGGGTGCCTGGGCTGGCAGCAAGAACTACGGCAGAGTTTGCAGCCAGGTGTCAGCACGTGGCCGCCTAGGCGCGGAGCCCGGTGTTCCCTGCGCTCGGCCTACCCGCCTCTATCCAAAGGCGCCGGCGACCTTGCCTCACACCTTCGCCAGGCTCCCTACTGCGTCCGCGCGGCCAACCTTTTGTGCCGCCGCCCCCGCACGAGGCCTGTAGCTCTAGGCTCCCAGGGATCCGGCATCAGCGCATTGCCGGCTTCCTCCAGGCGGCCCCGGGAGGCGGTGCGGCCTGGGAGGCGGGGACCCGGAGGGCCACAAGCGCTCCGCTCCCGGAAGCGAGTGGTTCTCTGGCTCCCGGAGCGCGGATCCGCGCGGCAGCCTGAGGTCCAGCATCCCAGCCGACGCCTCCAGGAGCAGCGGGAGCGACGCCCACGCCGGAGCAGCGCCACCCCGGCCAGCGCCCGTCCTGGCCCGCAAGATGCTGCCGGTGTACCCGGAGGTGAAGCCCAACCCGCTGCAGGACGCGAACCTCTGCTCCCGCGTGTTGTTCTGGTGAGCGCCCCGCCTGAGCCGTGACACCCCTTGCCGCCGCGGGCCGGCGCCTGGCGCCTTTCAGGGGCAGAGGGCTGCGGCGAGCAAGCGGTTTCCGCCGGCGCCCAGGCCGCTGGGCTTCTTGCTGCTGGCGGGGCCGCCCCGCACTAGCCGCCTGGTACCCGCCTGCGCGCGGCGGCGGAGGACAGGGCCGGCGATTGGGACCTGGCGGCGGCGGCACCGGGTGTCCCTGCCTTTCCGCTCGCCGCCGCGCCGGCTTCCAGTTCCCGGGAGCGGCGGGAGCAGGAGGCGGGGAGGCTGAGACCCTAGGCTGCCCGCTGGGAACTGGCCGCCAGCGGGAGGAGGGACTGCACCCTCCCCAGCCCCCGACTCCACCTCTGAACTGCACCCTTGTTTCCTTTTTTCGTAAGCAAGCAGCTTATGAACAGCTTCCTTTATGTGACTAGTGCCCTGGACCAGTCGCCGTCTTCCAATAATGTCCCCACCTTTCACCATATTCCTTACGTCTTATATGACGGCAGCGTTCCAACTCCTCCGGGCTCCCTCTGTGTCTGTGACCCTGTCTCCCTCCCTCCCTCTCTCCGTGTGCGTCTCTCAGTGTCCTGGTACGTAGTTAGGGCAAATTTCTAGTGGATTAAAAAACACTCTTAATTTGTATTTAATGAACGGGGACACTATTCGAGAACACGTTTTGCTTTTGCCTGGGACTCACAGCCACGACTGGAGTGTGTATTTGATCAGCCCTTTCCCTGTTGGGAATCTTTCCACTTTCACCTTTGAGGACCACTCTGGGCGTGGGGTCCCTGAAGTCTGTGGGGTCTTACCCAGCTCTCTAGCCTTCAGAGAAGTGTTCTGTGGTCTTGGTGCAGGTGGTCTGCCCAGGAGTCCCATGGTCTTGAAACCACTGAAGAGTCCTTGAGTTGAGAGGAAACACCAATGAAAAATGGTTCAGAGAGGAGCTCTTAACTGAAGTTTTCCATCTAGTAGCTGGGACTACTAACTTCAACCTTTGGGCTTTAGTCACACTTGCTTGATTGTTAGATCTTTTGTTTCAGGACCCTAACCCATTCATCTTTCCCATATATTCTATTTCCTGTTTTTAATGGGACAGCCTAGGGGATCCCCCGGGGATGGGAGCTCCTATGCTTGTTTTGGTGGTGGTGTTTTCAGTTTGTGTAGCTACGTCTCTTGGCCATTTGGTGGCCTTTCAGGAGCAAGAGGGTCCTAGAAGAAGAAGCATGGGTGTGGTTACAGTAACCTCAGGCAGGGCGAGGAACTCTCCAAGCCCATTCTGTTGGTGGACTTTGAAAATGTATGCGAATGGAAATGGGAAGGTGAGGACTTCTCATTGATTTTGGTAGGCATCCATTTCCAGTTTTCCTGCTGGAGGGCAAGGACCTATTATCTCTTATTTTACAGCTGAAGGCACCGAAGCAGAGAGTTTGAATAAGTTGTCTACCATCACACAGCTAGTAAGTGGTGGAGAGGGGCCGTTAACCAGGCAGTCTGGCTTCTGAGCCTGTGTTCCCTGTGTATGTAACTGCAGTTCTGAGCTGCTTCTGTTTGTATACTCGTTGGTAAACGCACAGAGAAGGCGATTGCAAACACATCTTTGTTCTTGTCGGCAGGAGTTTCTCAAGGGAAGTTCTTAGCAGCTGTTGGAGGTCATGGTGTGTGATACATCTCTATAACCAAGCTAAAGGGCGGCTGTTCTCAAAGTATGGTTCTCAGCATCATCACCTGGGCGTTTGTTAGAAATGCAAATTCCCCTGCACTCATTCTAGGCCAGTTCTGTAAAATTAGAAACTCTTGGGATGGGGTTTAAAACAAGCACTCCAGGTGATTCTTTTTTTTAAACATCTTTATTGGAGTATAATTGCTTTACAATGGTGTGTTAGTTTGTGCTTTATAACAAAGTGAATCAGTTATACATATGTTCCATATCTCTTCCCTCTTGCGTAAGCACTCCAGGTGATTCTGACGGAAGGTTGGTGCTGGCTACAGCTTTAAGTCACTTCTCCCACTGGCATTGTTACTTCAGTATTAACTTTTAAAAAGGGGTCCAGGACTTCCCTGGCGGTCCAGTGGTTAAGACCCCACTTTTCCACTGCAAGGGGCACGGGTATGATCCCTGGTCCAGGAACTAAGATCCCGTATGCCACGCGGCCAAAATAAGAAAGAAGGGGAGTGGGGTCCAGACTTTGCGAAGTTAGTTGTTGACCATGATTGCCATCCTGTATTCAAAGTCTGAGGTACCTTAGTGATTACCTTGTGTCCCCAACTTGGCTGTCACGGGAAAGCTGAAACGAGCCCAGCCAGGAAGTTCCGCCCAGAGAGAAGGCCCACCTTGTAGAGAAAAGTCAAGTTTTCATCTTCTCATTGGGTATGTGCTTCTTAAATTTCATCTGGGGTTTAGTGTTTCCACAGCACGGGCTGCGCACGTAGGATCTAAGGAGTCATACACTATGGCTATTGATAATTTTTGTGGATTTTAGGAAAGAATATATATTTTTCTATTTCTGTAAGAAATTTAAAACTATAGAGCAAGACGAAAAGAATAAGGGTGTGTTTCTGTTAGCCAAGCACACTTGCTGATATTTGGTCGTTTCTTAGTCTTTCCCCTAGAAATCTTTATGCACACCTCGTGCCCACATTCGTCTTTTCTATAAAAGGAAATCGTTTTGAATCCTGAACCCTTCTTAATTTTCTATGGTTAACATTTACTTACGGCATTAAATAAGCATGGTATTAAAACATGGTATTTAATTGCAGTTTATGCAGTCTTTCACTTTTGTCCAGCACAGTTATATTGCTAATTATGATGTGATGTATATCCACGACCTTGTATTTTGGTGCATCTTTCCTTTTTCTATATTCTCAGAAGTAAAATAACCAGTGAAAGGCTACATTGTTTTCCATCAGGTTTGGGCCAATTTGCCCTCTTAATAGCTGTTTGTGAGCTCATTTCATTGTCAGCTTTGAGTACGTGAATTACATTTTTCTAGGCCTAAAGTTAAAAATAATATCAAACTCGTTTTTTGTTTGTTTGTTTTGTTTTTTTTGGCTGCGCCACGAGGCATGGGGGGATCTTAGTTCCCGGACCAGCGATGGAACCCGGGCCCCCCCTGCATTGGAAGCGCGGAGTGTTAACCACTGGACCGCCAGGGAAGTCCCCCAATATCAAACAGTTTTAATTTGAATTTATTTGATTTGCAGAAATGGAACCTTTTTTTGGTGTCTATTGACCATTTATTTGTATTTTTTTGAATTGTGTATTAATAGATTTTTTCCTATGAGGTATTTATGTTTTTGAAATAACTTGTAATAGTGCTTATAATTTTCCAGATTTTCATTTCTCTTAATTTAGCTTAGAGGTTTTAAATTATATATCATTAAGCATATCAAGCTTTTCTTTTTGGTTTCTCCTGTTGCTTTTGTAATACCTTTTCTAAATCCCAGCATCATCTAAATCTCTGTAAGCATTTTACGTTACTTCTTGTTTCATTTCTAACAATAAAGCCAGCTATAATTTCTCTTAGTGTTAGATATAAGATAGGCCCCATTTTTTCTGAAACAGCCCATCTTCCTATCATGGTTTATTGAATAATTCTTGCTCATCCCCATTATTGGAAATAAGTGGCATAAATTATGAACCGTGTCCAGTCTGCTGAGACTCTTCCTGGTCATGTTCCCGCTGTCCTGCACAGCAGGCCTCTGGGGTGTGCTCTGTACTTCTCTCCCACCCTCGTCCCAGAGGCCAGCAGTTTGGGGGTTAGTGTGGGACCTGTCTCCAGAGATGAGGGTTGAGTAGGGTCTTTGGCCAGATGCACTTGGCCCATCAGGGAGTGGTTAAATTGTAGCTCCCCCGACGCTGACCACGTCTCAGCTGGTGAACTGTCACCTTGCAAAGGGAGTGCTGTGGTGGAAACTGCCCCTGGTGTCCAGACAGACTCTGGAGACTCTTGTCAGAGAAGCTGATGGCATGATGGGGGATGTGAACTGGCTGAGTGCTGAGATGTGTAGGGAGGTTGGTCCTGTCAGGCCCTCAGTAAATACTGATCATGAATGCACAGAAATGTATAATTCCAAACTAGGGTTCTTTGCACCATTTTCTCCAAATGCTGCAGATGCAGGCTGGGTGAGCTTCCCAGGGCTCTTTCTCCGACTTTGGTTTGTTCCCCTTTCTTAGGTGTCTAGTTTGATTAGTTCTGGCAATTTTATACAATAACTGCAGCACCGTGGAAGATGAAGAACACCCTAAAGGTGTATTAAAATTTACTGCTAAGTCCTTACAGTGAAATGCACAGTGTAACAAATTTAAGTTTCCTTCCTATAGTATATTCTTGATTTTGGGCGTCTCTATAGTCCTCATCTGCTCAGCCTGAGAGGTATCAACTAGTGTCCATTCAGATGTGTCACGTGAATAATTTGCCTTTCTGAGTCTTCCAGGGGTCCCCCAATGTGTTGACTCCCTTCCCTTTGTTGATCTGAAACAGACTGTCAGATATTTCTCCAGCAAATATGGGTTTATTTGGGATCAGCAGAGAGTTGCAATTCAGGGTCTGCAGCCATGGCGAGCCATGTGTACGTCTCCAAAGGGCAGGGGAAGGAGAACTCTTATAGAGGGGAAAAGAGAGTTGCGAGGGCTGTTGTCGTAAGCAGAGTCCATGGCTTTTCTTTCTCCTTTTTTAAAGAATAAATTTATTTCTTTTGGCTGCGTTGGGTCTTTGTTGCTGTGCGCGGGCTTTCTCTAGTTGCGGCGAGCGGGGGATACTCTTCATTGCGGCGTGCGGGCTTCTCATTGCGGTGGCTTCCCTTGTTGCGGAGCATGGGCTCTAGGCGCGTGGGCTTCAGTGGTTGCAGCACGTGGGCTCAGTTGTGGCTCGTGGGCTCTAGAGCACAGGTTCAGTAGTTGCGGCACACGGGCTTAGTTGCTCCGCGGCATGTGGGATCTTCCTGGACCAGGGCTCGAACCTGTGTCCCCTGTGTTGGCAGGCGGA